TAGACTCACCACACAGAGACCCATAGACTCACCACACAGAGACCCATAGACTCACCACACAGAGACCCATAGACCCACACAGACCCACAGACTCATCACACAGAGAACCATAGACTCATCACACAAAGACCCGCAGACTCATCACAGAGACCGATAAGACTACTCTTATAGAGACCCATAGACTCATCATACAGATACCCATAGACTACTCTTACAGAGAACCATAGACTATTCTTACAGATACCCATAGACTCATCACACAGACCCAGATTCATCATACAGAGACCCATAGACTACTCTTAGAGCCATAGACTCATCACACAGCAGAGACCCATAGACTAATCACAAAGAGACCCATAGACTCATCACACAGAGACCCATAGACTACTCTTACAGAGAGCCATAGACTCATCACACAGCAGAGACCCATAGACTCATCACACAGCAGAGACCCATAGACTCATCACGCAGAGACCCATAGACTCACGCAGAGACCCATAGACTCACACAGAGACCCATAGACTCACACAGAGACCCTGAGTCTGGGTGTCTCTCTCTCTCTCTCAGGGGGGACGCTGAGATCCTGGATTCAAGCCCTGAGTCTGGGTGTCTCTCTCTCTCAGGGGGGACGCTGAGATGCTGGGTTCAAGCCCTGAGTCTGGGTGTCTCTCTCTCTCTAAGAGGGGGACTTTGAGATCCTGGGTTCAAGCCCTGAGTCTGGGTGTCTCTCTCTCTCTGAGGGGGGGACACTGAGATCCTGGGTTCAAGCCCTGAGTCTGGGTGTCTCTCTCTCAGGGGGGTACGCTGAGATCCTGGGTTCAAGCCATGAGTCTGGGTGTCTCTCTCTCTCTCAGGGGGGAGGTTGAGATCCTGGGTTCAAGCCCTGAGTCTGGGTGTCTCTCTCTCTGGGGGACACTGAGATCCTGGGTTCAAGCCCTGAGTCTGGGTGTCTCTCTCTCTCTAAGGGGGGGACTTTGAGATCCTGGGTTCAAGCCCTGAGTCTGGGTGTCTCTCTCTCTCTCTCTGAGGGGGGGACACTGAGATGCTGGGTTCAAGCCCTGAGTCTGGGTGTCTCTCTCTCTCAGGGGGGAGGTTGAGATCCTGGGTTCAAGCCATGAGTCTGGGTCTCTCTCTCTCTCAGGGGGGAGGTTGAGATCCTGGGTTCAAGCCATGAGTGTGGGTGTCTCTCTCTCTGAGGGGGGACACTGAGATCCTGGGTTCAAGTCCTGAGTCTGGGCGTCTCTCTCTCTCTCTCTAAGGGGGGACGCTGAGATCCTGGGTTCAAGCCTTGAGTCTGGGTGTCTCTCTCTCTCTCTCAGGGGGTGGCGCTGAGATCCTGGGTTCAAGCCCTGAGTCTGGGTGTCTCTCTCTCTCGAAGGGGGGACGGTGAGATCCTGGGTTCAAGCCCTGAGTCTGGGTGTCTCTCTCTCAGGGGGGACACTGAGATCCTGGGTTCAAGCCCTGAGTCTGGGTGTCTCTCTCTCTCAGGGGGGAGGTTGAGATGCTGGGTTCAAGCCCTGAGTCTGGGTGTCTCTCTCTCTGAGGGGGGGACGCTGAGATCCTGGGTTCAAGCCCTGAGTCTGGGTGTCTCTCTCTCTCTCTCAGGGGGGACGCTGAGATCCTGGGTTCAAGCCCTGAGTCTGGGTGTCTCTCTCTCTCGGGGGGGATGCTGACATCCTGGGTTGAAGCCCTGAGTCTGGGTGTCTCTCTCTCTCTCAGGGGGGATACTGAGATCCTGGGTTCAAGCCCTGAGTCTGGGTGTCTCTCTCTCTCAGGGGGGAGGTTGAGATCCTGGGTTCAAGCCCTGAGTCTGGGTGTCCTCTCTCTCTCAGGGAGGGACGCTGAGATCCTGGCTTCAAGCCCTGGGTATGTCTCTCTCTCTCAGGGGCTTTATAAACCCTGTGACACCCAGACCCAGGGATTGAACCTTGAACCCAGGATTCTCCACAATGCTGTCTCAGCATCTCCGACACGGCCACGTTCGGTGGACTTTGAGTCGACGGTTCATCATTGATTTTGCTGTCTGCAGGAAAAAAATTACATCTTAAAGCTGAACCCAAATATTATCTTGTAGGGATTTCAGAATCTGCCTTTTGCGTTTTGCTTGTTGTCCTTCCCCCGCACCTCCGATTGATGTACGGTGGTGCGAAATAAATTCACACACACGTCCTCACGCAGACCCACAGACTACTCATGCAGAGACCGATAAGACTGCTCTTACAGAGACCCATAGGCTATTATTACAGATACCCATAGACTCACCACACAGAGACCCATAGACTCACCACACAGAGACCCATAGACTCACACAGAGACCCATAGACTCACCACACAGAGACCCATAGACTCACCACACAGAGACCCATAGACTCACCACACAGAGACCCATAGACCCACACAGACCCACAGACTCATCACACAGAGAACCATAGACTCATCACACAAAGACCCGCAGACTCATCACAGAGACCGATAAGACTACTCTTATAGAGACCCATAGACTCATCATACAGATACCCATAGACTACTCTTACAGAGAACCATAGACTATTCTTACAGATACCCATAGACTCATCACACAGACCCAGATTCATCATACAGAGACCCATAGACTACTCTTAGAGCCATAGACTCATCACACAGCAGAGACCCATAGACTAATCACAAAGAGACCCATAGACTCATCACACAGAGACCCATAGACTACTCTTACAGAGAGCCATAGACTCATCACACAGCAGAGACCCATAGACTCATCACACAGCAGAGACCCATAGACTCATCACGCAGAGACCCATAGACTCACGCAGAGACCCATAGACTCACACAGAGACCCATAGACTCACACAGAGACCCATAGACTCACACAGAGACCCATAGACTCATCACGCAGAGACCCATAGACTCACGCAGAGACCCATAGACTCACGCAGAGACCCATAGACTCACACAGAGACCCATAGACTCACACAGAGACCCATAGACTCACACAGAGACCCATAGACTCGCACAGAGACCCATAGACTCGCACAGAGACCCATAGACTCACAGAGAGACCCATAGACTCATCACACAGCAGAGATCTATAGACACACACAGACCCATAGACTCATCACACAGCAGAGACCCATAGACTCACACAGCAGAGACCCATAGACTCACACAGCAGAGACCCATAGACTCACACGGAGACCCATAGTTTGTTGTGGAATTCTTTTGCAGTAGCCAAATACCAGAGCGAAAACCCAGAGGAAACTGGGAAAAAAGTTAACGCGACCACAGGGAGAGAGAAATACGCAGACCCGAAATAAACAGCTGGGCATCGCCAGGGATCGGGATCGAACTTATGACCTCCTGTGTACCAGGCGAGGTAGCTAACGTCTCATAGCCACCGAGACGGTGATGAGAGAGACGCAGACTCCACATAATACAGCGGAAGCAGGCTTCATCTGGGTCAGAGGATCGAACCCACGACCTCCTGCACACGAGGCGAGGCATTCAACATCTCCTAACCACCGTGATCATGACGGGGAGAGACGCAAACTCCTAATATACAGCAGCCGCAGCAGCAGCAGAAGACATCGTGAGGGTCACGGAATCGAACCCACGACCTCCTGCATACCGGGCGAGGTAGTCAACACCTCCCAGCCACCGTGGCGCCGGGAGAGAGGTGGTCACAGCCGGATAATGTTGAAGTAAAAAAAGACAAAGTAAACTTTAAAAAAACAGCAAGGTCAAGAGCCCCCGAATATTGCGACTTCTCATCTTCTCCTAGGTGTTTTATTTTGTCATTGTGGCGGGAATGCGTGCAGATGCTGAGTCATTAATCCCCCCACCACCCGACAGGGCTAACCAGTGAGGTGGTTTGTCCCGTAAACAGAACGTGGCCAATTCGTTACTTAGTACAGCACAAGTGTGTCTCGTGTAGTGTATAGTGTAGTGTATAGTGTAGTGTATAGTGTAGCGTATTGTATATAGTAGTGTAGTGTCGTGTATAGTGAACTGTAGTGTAGTGTATAGTAGTGTACAGTGTAGTGTATAGTAGTGTAGTGTATACTGTAGTGTATAGTGTAGTGTATTGTGTAGTGTATAGTGTAGTGTATAGTGTAGCGTAGAGTAGTGTATAGTGTAGTGTACAGTGTAGTGTACTGTGTAGTGTATTGTGTATAGTAGTGTAGTGTATAGTGTAGTGTACAGTGTAGTGTGTAGTGTATAGTGTAGTGTATAGTGTAGTGTATAGTATAGTGTATAGTAGTGTATAGTGTAGTGTATAGTAGTGTATAGTAGTGTAGTGTATAGTGTAGTGTATAGTAGTGTAGAGTAGTGTAGTGTATAGTGTAGTGTATAGTAGTTTAGTGTATAGTGGTGTAGTGTATAGTGTAGTGTATAGTAGTGTAGTGTATAGTAGTGTAGTGTATGGTAGTGTAGTGTATGGTAGTGTGTAGTAGTGTAGTGTATAGTGTAGTGTATAGTAGTGTAGTGTATTGTGTATAGTATAGTGTAGTGCATTTGCTCTCAGAACCACAACATTTTGCTCTCAGAGTAAACTCAGGGCAGAGTGCGGGCGGATGAGGCGAGAGAGAGAGAGAGAGGGGTGGGTGGTGGTGGTGGTGACCGCTTCGAGCGCCGGTAACTTCGCTCGCACGCGGCCGAATCGCGGCCTCCCTGCGCCCATTCCGTAGTGCGTAGTCCCGCCGAGACGCCGGCGGGGTTGTCGGCAGCGCCCGCCGGCGTCTTCACGCTTAGATCGGCCCTCGAGGCGATTACCCTTATTTTGACACAGCGTCGCCATCGCAAGCCTGCTAATTAAAAGCTGGACCCCGGTGGACGTTGCATTTATTTTCGAAATTTACGATTAAAACATTGCTACGCTTATGCGCGGCGCTTAGGCGAGGTTAACTTCCCCTCACGTTTTGTTTTATTTTATTTGAAAATAATATTTTTTGTTGTTGTAAATCTTCGCAAACAAAATGTGACGTTGTGGACGGACAGAGACTCACTCGGCGCGAGACGACATCTTGGGCTGAAGGTCACGTGAGTGCTGGTGCGGGGGGCGGGGCTGTGTGGGGGTAGTCACGTGACAGCGGGGGAACAGAGGGGAGGGGCCTGAACATGTTGCTGCGGTGGCGAGGGGGAGTCGCCGGGGGGGGGGTGGGTGATCACGTGACAGCGGGGAAACGGAGGGGAGGGGCTGATCACGTGTCTGGAGGGAGGGGTTGTGGGGGTGGACGATCACGTGACAGTGGGGGAATTGAGGGGAGGGGGGTTGCAGGGGGAATCTCACGTGACAGCGGGGGAGGGGAGGGGCTGATCACGTGTTTAGGAGGTTGTGGGGGGGTCACGTGCAAGTGGAGGAACGTGGGGGGAGGGGCTGATCACGTGACTAGGGGAGAGGGGAGGGGGTTGCGGAGGGGGGGAAGCCACGTGACAGCGGGGGGGAGGGGAGGGGCTGGTCACGTGGTTGTTGTTGTTTTTAAAATCATCATATTTCACCCAATAAACATTTAGGATCACAAACTGTTCTAGATTTCAAGCTTTCGTGACTGCTAGGATCCATATCACAAACTGTGTCCGCGATGGCGTCTCGAGAACGACTGTGGGGGTCTATGACCTAGGGGGCACCCCCAGTGGCAGCTGTCCCTGTGTGTGAGTCTGTAGTAGGGGGTGATGGTGACTGCTGTGAGGTCTATGGCAAAGGGGCACCCCCAGTGGCAGCTGTCTCTGTGTGTGAGTCTGTAGTAGGGGGGATGGTGACTGCTGTGTGAGGTCTATGGCCTAGGGGCACCCCCAGTGACAGCTGTCCCTGTGCGTGAGTCTGTAGAAGGGGGTGATGGTGACTGCTGTGTGAGGTATATGGCCTAGGGGTACCCCCAGTAGCAGCTGTCTCTGTGTGTGAGTCTGTAGTAGGGGGTGATGGTGACTGTTGTGGGGTCTATGGACTAGGGGCACCCCCAGTGACAGCTGTCCCTGTGTGTGTGTCTGTAGTATGGGGTGAAGGTGACAGCTGTTGGGTCTATGGCCTAGGGGCACTCCCAGTGGCAGATGTCTCTGTGTGTGAGTCTGTAGTAGGGGTGATGGTGACTGCTGTGTGAGGTCTATGGCCTAGTGGTACCCCCAGTGGCAGCTGTCTCTGTGTGTGAGTCTGTAGTAGGTGGTGATGGTGACTGCTGTGAGGTCTATGGCCTAGGGGGTACCTCCAGTGACAGCTGTCTCTGTGTGTGAGTCTGTAGTAGCGGGTGATGGTGACTGCTGCTGTGAGGTCTATGGCCTAGGGGGCACCCCCAGTGGCAGCTGTCTCTGTGTGTGAGTCTGTAGTAGGGGGTGATGGTGACTGCTGTGAGGTCTATGGCCTAGGGGGCACCCCCAGTGGCAGCTGTCTCTGTGTGTGAGTCTGTAGTAGGGAGTGATGGTGACTGCTGTGGGGTCTATGGCCTAGGGGCACCCCCAGTGGCAGCTGTCTCTGTGTGTGAGTCTGTAGTAGGGGGTGATGGTGACTTCTGTGTGGGGTCTATGGCCTAGGGGCACCCCCAGTGGCAGCTGTCTCTGTGTGTGAGTCTGTAGTAGGGGGTGATGGTGACTGCTGTGTGGGGTCTATGTCCTAGGGGCACCCCCAGTGACAGCTGCCCTTCGTGCATTGATGAGCCGGCCACCTTTAAGAAGCCGGGTTCGAGCCCCGGGTCTGGGTGTCTCCTTCACTGCTCTGATCGGGGTTGTTGCTGTGATGGTGGTGGTGGCGGTGGTGATGATGATAATGGTTGTAGTGGTGATAATGTTGTTGGTGGTAGTGGTGTTAATGATGACGGTGGTGATGATGATGGTGGTGATGATTATGATGGTGGTGATGATGGTGGTGGTGATGGTGGTGATGGTGGTGGTGGTGATGATTATGATGGTGATGATGATGGTGGTGGTTGTGATGGTGGTGGTGGTGGTGATGATTATGATGATGGTGGTGGTGATGATTATGATGGTGGTGATGGTGGTGATGATGGTGGTGGTGATGATGATGATGGTGGTGGTGATGATGATGATGGTGGTGATGATGGTGGTGATGGTAATGATTATGATAGTGGTGGTGATGATGATGATGGTGGTGATGGTGGTGGTGGTGATGATTATGATGGTGGTGATGATGATGATGGTGGTGGTGATGATGATGGTGGTGGTGGTGGTGATGATGATGGTGGTGATGATGATGGTGGTGATGATTATGATGGTGATGATGGGATGATGGGGATGATGGTGGTGGTGGTGTTGATGATGGTGGTGGTGATGGTGGTGGAGGTGGTGGTGGTGATGGTGGTGGTGGTGATGCTTATGATGGTGGTGACGATGATGGTGGTGGTGGTGGTGATGATGATGATGGTGGTGGTGGTGGTGGTGATGGTGGTGGTGATTATGATGGTGGTGATGATGATGATGATGATGGTGCTGGTGATGGTGGTGGTGATGGTGGTGGTGGAGGTGGTGGTGGTGATGGTGGTGGTGATGGTGATGGTGGTGGTGATGGTGGTGGAGGTGGTGGTGGTGGTGATGATGGTGGTGATGGTGGTGGTGGTTATTATGATAGTGGTGATGATGATGATGATGGTGGTGGTGGTGATGATGGTGGTGGTGATGATGATGGTGGTGGTGATGGTGGTGGTGGTAATGGTGATGGTAGTGGTGATGGTGATGATGGTGGTGGTGATGGTGATGATGATGGTGGTGGTGATGGTAATGATGATGGTGGTGGTGGTAATGGTGGTGGTGGTTGTGGTGATGATGATGGTAGTGGTGATGGTGGTGGTGGTGATGGTGATGATGATGGTGGTGGTGATGGTGGTGGTGATGGTGGTGATGGTGGTGATGATGGTGGTGGTGATGATGGTGGTGGTAATGCGGGTGATGGTGGTGATGGTGATGATGGTGGTGATAGTGCTGTTGGTGGTGGTGATGGTGGTGGTGATGGTGATGATGGTGATGGTGGTGATAGTGGTGGTGATGATGGTGGTGATAGTGGTGGTGGTGATGGTGATGATGATGGTGGTGATTATGATGGTGGTGATGATGGTGGTGGTGGTGATGATGATGGTGGTGGTGATGGTGGTGATGGTGGTGGTGATTATGATGGTGGTGATGATGATGATGATGGTGCTGGTGATGGTGCTGGTGATGGTGGTGGAGGTGGTGGTGGTGATGGTGGTGGTGATGGTGATGGTGGTGGTGATGGTGGTGGAGGTGGTGGTGGTGGTGGTGATGATGGTGGTGATGGTGGTGGTGGTTATTATGATAGTGGTGATGATGATGATGGTGGTGGTGGTGATGATGGTGGTGGTGATGATGATGGTGGTGGTGATGGTGGTGGTGGAAATGGTGATGGTAGTGGTGATGGTGATGATGGTGGTGGTGGTGATGGTGATGATGATGGTGGTGGTGATGGTAATGATGATGGTGGTGGTGGTAATGGTGGTAGTAGTGGTGGTGATGATGATGGTGGTGGTTGTGATGGTGGTGGTGGTGGTGGTGATGGTGATGATGATGGTGGTGATGATGATGGTGGTGATGGTGGTGATGGTGATGATGGTGGTGATAGTGCTGGTGGTGATGGTGGTGGTGATGGTGGTGATGGTGGTGGTGATGGTGATGATAGTGGTGGTGATGATGGTGGTGGTGATAGTGGTGGTGGTGATGGTGATGATGATGATGGTGGTAATGCTGGTGGTGATGATGGTGATGATGGTGGTGGTAGTAGTGATGGTGATGGTGGTGATGGTAGTGGTGGTGGTGATGGTGATTGTGGTGGTGGTAGTGATGATTATGATGGTGGTGATGGTGGTGATGGTGGAGTTGGTGGTGGTGGTGATGGTGGTGATGATGATGGTGGTGGTGATGATGGTGGTGGTAGTAGTGATGGTGGTGATGGTGATGGTAGTGGTGGTGGTGGTGATGAAGGTGGTGATGGTGGTGATAGTGGTGGTGATGATGGTGGTGGTGATAGTGGTGGTGGTGGTGGTGATCGTGATGATGATGATGATGGTGGTAATGCTGGTGGTGGTGATGGTGATGATGGTGGTGGTAGTAGTGATGGTGGTGATGGTGATGGTAGTGGTGGTGATGGTGATGGTGGTGGTAGTGATGATTATGATGGTGGTGATGGTGGTGATGGTGGAGGTGGTGGTGGTGGTGATGGTGATGATGATGGTGGTAATGCTGGTGGTGGTGATGGTGGTGATGGTGGAGGTGGTGGTGATGGTGGTGATGATGATGGTGGTGGTGGTGATGATGGTGGTGGTAGTAGTGATGGAGGTGATGGTGGTGATGATGATGGTGGTGGTGATGATGGTGGTGGTAGTAGTGATGGAGGTGATGGTGGTGATGGTGATGGTGGTGGTAGTGGTGGTGATGGTGGTGGTAATGCTGGTGGTGGTGATGATGATGATGGTGGTGATGGTGGTGATGATGATGGTGGTGGTGACGGTGATGATGATGGTGGTAATGCTGGTGGTGGTGATGATGATGGTGGTGATGGTGGTGGTGATGGTGATGATGATGGTGGTAATGCTGGTGGTGGTGATGGTGATGATGGTGGTGGTAGTAGTGATGGTGGTGATGGTGATGGTAGTGGTGGTGGTGATGGCGATGGTGGTGGTGGTAGTAATGATTATGATGGTGGTGATGGTGGTGATGGTGGAGGTGGTGGTGTGATGGTGGTGATGATGATGGTGGTGGTGATGATGGTGGTGGTAGTAGTGATGGTGATGGTGGTGATGGTAGTGGTGGTGGTGGTGATGGTGGTGGTGATGGTGGTGATAGTGGTGGTGATGATGGTGGTGGTGATAGTGGTGGTGGTAGTGGTGATGGTGATGATGATGGTGGTAATGCTGGTGGTGGTGATGGTGATGATGGTGGTGGTAGTAGTTATGGTGGTGATGGTGATGGTAGTGGTGGTGGTGGTTTTGATGGTGATGGTGCTGATGATTATGATGGTGGTGATGGTGGTGATGGTGGAGGTGGTGGTGATGATGATGGTGGTAATGCTGGTGGTGGTGATGGTGTTGATGGTGGAGGTGGTGGTGGTGATGGTGGTGGTGATGATGATGGTGGTGGTGATGATGGT